CACACTGGAGAAACTATTTGGTATTTACACATGTGTGTCCTATTTATTTCACTTAAGAGTATGGCCTCAATATGAATCCATTTAGCTATAAATGACTCTAGTTTCTCGTTCTTTATGGCTGCGTAGTACTCCATTTTATAAAAAAAACACATCTTATTTATCCAGTTTCCAGTTGATGGGCACTTGGGCCGTTTCCAAGCTTTAGCTATTACAAACTCTGCTGCTATAAACATGGGTGCACATATATCTCTGTGGTATGATTCTTTTAATTCTTTTGTGAAAATACCAGGAAAAATTATGAGAAAAGGAAAAAAAAATGGAAACGAAGTCTATGTAAATAGGGAAGGGTGGAAGGGTGAAGGGTGCATGGGTAATGGGGAAAAATAACCAAGATACATCATGTACAGGTACAAGCACCCAATGATAGATGTAAATGTATTGTATACCTAAAATGTACCAATAAAAGAATTTAAGCAAAAAAAAATTGTATTCTTTGTATTATAAAAGTAAAGGGGCCATTCCAAAAATTGGAAAACGTTGAAAATAATAATGAAGAATGTAAAAATTACTTCAAATCCTGCCACCCAGAGGTAGCCATGGCTAACATTTTTATTCTTTGCATATTCACATTATTAAAGTTTTAGACAAATTTTTTGTCAACTGAATGAGTAAATATAGTTTTTAATCTTTATTTTTTCACTGAGCAAACCAGGAATATTTTCTAGACATTGAATATCTAAATCTATTCTCTTTGTTTCTTTTTTTTAAGAAACAGGCATTATTTCAAATATTTAAGTGGAAGATATTATGTCTCGCTAATATTAAACTTAATTTAGATATTAGTTTAAATATTAACTTAGCTGTAGTGTGTAGAATCTAGGAATCATCCTCTTCCTTGTGGTTCACTCACCCTGTGCAACAGAGCATTTGAAAATGGGCTCAGTTGGTAGGAAAAAGAGAAAGAAAAAGAAAGTATCGATATATTATTGACAGCTGCAGATGAAAAACTTGAGATTGTAAACCATGGATGTCAAAATATTCTTAGTTTGCTCGTTTTTGAAACTCTGACTACTACCACAATTACATGAGCAATACTGCTAGTAAGCAATATCTTAAAACATTTTAAGAACAGGCTTTATGTTATTAGAATGAAAAATCGTGCACTTGCGTTAATAAAGCATAAAGACCTGGATGAAGGAAAATTAACTTTGAGGGATGGTTTCTGAAATCAATGGTTTTTTTTTAGCACTTTGGACATTCACAGGAAACTTTTTTAATGTGGCTGAGAATTTCCTCTTCACTGGATTTGGACAACACCCTCTTGTTACTCACAGGAAGAGAGCCCTCTTTAAAGGGGCCCTGCAGAAGCAATGCTCATGGGCTTGTGGCTGACTTTACACCAGGTCTGCTGGAACAGCATTCGACAGGAGCAGCAGCTGGACACCTGAGAAATCCAATGCCCAAACATCCACTTTGCAAAACAGTAAGTGCAGAATTCTTGACAAGGGCACCCTTGACTATGAAAACATATTTATCACTGAGTAGATATGCAAAAAGCCTTCTGATATAAGATATGTGAAAGCTTTTATTGTATTAGAGTTAAAACCTATCTTTTCTGTTTGACCTAAATGATGAAAATGCTAGTTTTGGGGGGTGGTTTTTGGTACTGAGGATTGAACTAAGGACTTTGTGCTTGTGAGGCTGGTGCAGTGCCATTGAGCTAAATCCCCGGCCTGAAAATGCTAAATTTTTTATTCATTCTGGTAAAAGTCTTTGAAATACAGATTGTGCCACTGGGAGTCCTTCTGCTCAAATCTTATGATGATGCCTCAAAATCACAGTAGAAGGATGTAACAAACTACCTGGCATTTCCTTCTATAATTAATTTTATACCTCCTCTTTCCAGAAAAATATTTCAAGTCTAATTCTTCAGTGAAAAGAATTCTTGAAGTCATGATTGCTCCATGGTTGCTCCACACTCTTAAATTTGGTAAGTCAGTGACATTAGACAGAACAAGATTTCTCAGTTTTGCACTGTCACCATTGAGGACCAGAATGTTCTCCCTTGTGTGAGGCTGTTCCTAGCATTGCAGGGTAGTTAGCCGCATCCCCTGTATTCCAGGGCAATATGTTCTGCCCTGGAATATGAGCAATTTACTTTGCCTCTTAGTGTCCTAGTTTATTTATGTGTGAAGTGACCTATTCATAAGTGATCTATGTAGATATTATGAGAATTCAGTATTATGGTTCCTGTAAAGTGCTTCACACAGTACTTGGTGGCACATACTAAGGGCTCAATAAAGCTTTGTTATCCTGATTATCTATTATTATTCTTCTGTAAAGTGGATATATAATTAGGCTGTGGAGGGTGAGTGTGATAAAGCACCTAGTGGATGGCCGGTTCCAAAAGTTTCTTCATACATTTCTCTGATTACTTTTGAAAAGGTGAAAAATTAGACAGGGGATTTAGCTCAGTAGTTCCGCTGCCTGCCTTACAAGTGCAAGGACCCAAGTCCAATCCCCGGTACCAAAAAAAAAAGGTGAAAAATTTGGGTCATTCTCAAGGTCCCAAATGCCAAAACTAAAACAATCCTAAGCACAAGTAATAGAGTTAAACTATAGCAGGACCAAATTCTACCTTTCCTTCCCTGTCCCTCAGTGCTTCTCCTTCGAGGGAGTGGAGCTTGGTCTTACAATGCCTCTACAGAAACCATGACTTACGAGGAGGCCAGGGCTTACTGCCAACAGAAGTACACACATCTGGTCGCAATTCAAAACAAAGAAGAGATCAAGTACTTGAACTCCAGAATGAGCTACTCAAAAAGCTATTACTGGATCGGAATCAGAAAAGTCAATAATGTGTGGATCTGGGAAGGGACCCAGACACCTCTGACCAAAGAAGCCAAGAACTGGGCTCCAGGTGAACCAAACAATAAGCAGAATGATGAGGACTGTGTGGAGATCTATATCAAGAGAGAAAAGGACCCGGGCATGTGGAATGATGAGCCATGCAGCAAGAAGAAGCTTGCTTTGTGTTACACAGGTAGGAGGTTTGAGGCAGCGCTGGGAGGTAGTTTTGGTGGGTGGCCAGCTTGACAAACGTACAGTATGCAAAAGTTGATCTCTATTGTGGTGATTTTATATTCCAAAAGATATGATTTAAAAACATTCTTTAACTGCTAAAGTATCTCTTTACATCTGCGAATGTAGGCAAGAATGTATGTACCTATGCATATATATAGTTCTATACATATGTAGAATGCAGAGACACATACAGTACATATTTTGTTGCTTGTTTATTTGTGATAGAGGAACAGTTTTGGGGTTGGTGATAAAATGAATTTTCTACACTTGGTGCCAGCTATGTTCTTAATTTCCATACATTAACATCAAGGTATAAACTAGATGAACCTGAAACGCCTTCAGTAAAATCTCAGGCACTCTGTGTATTTGGCAATGCCTCTGTACACTACTGGTCTTAAATTCAAAGGGACATGTGATAAACACAGTAACAATGACACTCATCAGGGAATGTGATCTCCGCAGCTGCCTGTACCAATGAATCCTGCAGTGGCCATGGTGAATGTATAGAGACCATCGAAGACTACAACTGCAAGTGTTACCCAGGCTTCCATGGACTCAGGTGTGAGGAAGGTGAGTCTGGTTCTCACCTCTCCCTTCACCTGAAAGGGCAGCATCCTCTGTTGTTCCAGCTGGCTTGGGAGTCAGGTCCACATATCATCCTTATCCTAGATCATATGATGTAATGTGGTAGTTAAGAGCTGAGACTATGAAGTTGGACCTGATCTCAGACTCCCCACTTGTTACATAAGGTACCTTGGCATGGTGGTCTTATGGGACCATGATCACACCTGCAGGCTGTCATGGATAGAAACGTCCTTATGTGGCCCACGACTGTAGTTATGTGACCCACAGTAAAAGGAAGATAATGATACCAATATCATAGGCTTATGATTGCACAGTGATAGCACATAGGAAACACTCAGCAAGCAGCAGTCACAAGGTGAGACAGCAGACCTGATTTGCAATTTTTCAGTTGTAACATGTAAAGCACGGGAAGACCCCGAACATGGAAGGCTGGATTGCACTCACCCCTTCGGGTCCTTCAGCTACAACTCCTCTTGCTCTGTGAGCTGTGAATGGGGCTACCTGCCAAGCAGCAAGCAGACCATGCAATGCATGTCCTCTGGAGAATGGAGCACTCCCGTGCCAGCCTGCCAGGGTGAGTCTCTCTCAGTAGGCAAGGACATTCTCTAACTCATCCCTCAGTCCTGCACTTTCTGTCCAACTGACAACATTGTCCAAACCCTAGGGAAAGTTCTTTTTTGTTATTGTTTTTAGTAAAATGTGTTCTCTCAGCAGTGTCTTTGTGGGTTATCCATAACTTGCTTGGTTTGAGGGTTCCTTTCAGTTTATGTTTGAAATGGATATTCTGAAGCTCTGGTGAGTGGTGAAAGAGACCATCATGAAGGCCTGGAACCACACTCTAGATGTCTTCATGACTTTCTCATCTTTTCCATGCAGTGGGCTAATGTAAGACCATCATAATCAAGGAGTCTCAAGATCTCTTTTTTTCTCTCAATCTTACTTTCTGGAACAGACCCTCCCCCAAATCAATCCTTTAGGTCACACTGGGCTAAAATAATGTCCTGTGTATGTCAATATTGTTTTCACCCCAATGAGTCATAAATCCTGTTCTAGAATCTGTTAGTTCTTCATTTTTGTGTTGTGTAAATGATAAAATAGATCAGAGATCACTCAGCCTAGTCCAAGTAAAAATTAATCAGAAAAGATGGAAATACCAAAAAATAGAACAAAAACTTTGTTATGGGTCTTTATACACATCACAGTGAATGACCACAGGCAGCATAGAGGATGAAAAAGATGACTTGTGGACAAGACTTAGTTCAGTCATCGAGAGGTCCAGCGGGGCTATTCTAAACTGAGAGCACCTAGTCATTGGTGGACCCTGAAGAAGAAGAGCCCTGAAGCCAAGAACTCTCTGGCTTTTATTTAGAATATCAGAGTAAAAGAAAAAGGCAGGAGAAAAGCAGTTTGGGCAAGGAGCTCTCTCAAGGGTAGGTAGTTTTTCTTGGGGAAAGGGGAAGGACACGGCCAGTCACAACATGCTTCACTAATCTACACTTCTTGTTCTTTAACTATTTGATTCTCACACAGCCTGTGCACTTTTGCCCTGTAGTTTAACCATTCACTCCTCATAGAGCTTATGTGCTTTTGTCCCACAGTTTAACCATTCATTCCTAGCCAAGTCCCCTACATTTATCCCCTAAAATGGACGTAGGTATTCTGAGTCTACCCTTTGAAGGCAGCTTTCTCACTGTTTTATAAATGCAATTCAATAGGAAGCAAAATCAATATTCTTCTGTAAAATTAATGGTGCCCTTTTATCTCCACAGTGGTTGAGTGTGATGCTTTGACAAAACCTGCCAATGGGACCATGGATTGTTTCCAAAGCCCTGAAAGATTTCCATGGAACACAACCTGTGAATTCCACTGTGAGGAAGGATTTGAACTCATAGGAGCCAAAACCCTGCAATGTACCTCCTCTGGGACCTGGGACAACGAGAAGCCAACCTGTAAAGGTAGAGTTGTTCTACCTCCAGACACTGCAAACCTTTTCGTTCTCAAACCACACTTGAAATGGGTAACCCAGACTTGCTGATGTACATTGACACCTGTGTTACAGCTGTGACATGCGATGTCATCCACCAGCCTCAGAATGGCTCTGTGAGCTGTAGCCCCTCTTCTGCTGGAGAGTTTGCCTTTAAGTCATCCTGCAACTTCACCTGCGAGGAGGGCTTCACATTGCAGGGGCTACCCCAGATCGAATGCACGGCTCAAGGGGCGTGGACACAGCTAACTCCAGTGTGTGAAGGTGAGGCTCGGGTTCTTTATGTGTTCTGTTTTAGAAAAGCAGCAGCTTTCACCCTTGGGCAGTGCAAGTGAGACTAGAAGTTCACTTTTATTATACATATGAGATTTGATGGGCAGCACTCATCTCATGTCTTTGAGATTCATTTAATGAACCAGTGCTTGGCAGGGAAAAGACTATATGTAACAAGAGCAAATCCTTCGCTGGTTTCTTAACTATGCTCTGTTAATATAATGTTACAGACATTGGCATGGAGTAGGCAGAAATCTTAATCTATCTATCTATCTATCTATCTATCTATCTATCTATTTATTTATTTATTTTGGGTACCAGGGATCGAACTTGGGTCCTTGTGCTTGCGAGGCAGGTGGCAGAACCACTGAGCTAAATCCCCAGCCTGAGAAATCTTAATCTAAAAGAAATCGTATTAGAAAAATTTAAAGTACAGAATAAAGAGAACTTCCCTTGAGTCTCAAATTCTTATGACACTTTTCTTCTGAAATTGCTCCTAACAAGCAGTGATGAGAAAGCCTCCGGGTTGGCTTTAGCTACAGAGATATTCTTGATACTTAGCGTAATTACCGAAATTGAATTCATTCCAAAGCAAGGGCAAGGAAGTTAAAAACAAGCAGATTCCCATATCAGGTGCTGGCATTCTCACAGCCAAATAAAATACAGAATGATTTCCAATGGCAGAAACCCTCAATACAAAAACCAAGCCAAAAGGCATACACATTTTACATGGATGTCTTCTCCTTTCTTTTCGGTTGTATCTATAAGTATCCAGGAGCCTTAAATTGTTCTCTGACTGCATGAAATCTTTCCTTGACCCTAACTTCTTTGCATATCAGAAAAGCAATGCCCAGGAACTAAAATTCCTGTTAAAGGCTGTCCTTTCATAGGTGCCATTGTCAATGAGGGGCTTGGAATTCAAAGAAAACACTGCCTGCTTCCCAGCTGTCCAGGGAACACTGAAGAAGCATCTTGAGTTCTTTGAATGTTGCTCTGTCTGAAATCAACTGTGTAGTCAAAAGCTAGTCTCCAGTTCTACTAGGCTATTTCCTAACTATCATTGTGCTGTTTCAGCTTTCCAGTGCAAACCTTTATTGAGCCCAGAGCAAGGCTACATGAATTGTCTTCCTAGTGCTTTGGGAGGTTTCCAAAGTGGATCCAGCTGTGAGTTCTCCTGTGAGCAGGGATTTGTGTTAAAAGGACCCAGAAGGCTCCAGTGTGGTCCCACAGGAGAGTGGGACCATGAGAAACCCACATGTGAATGTACAGTCACTGTTCTTATTTTATTTAAAATAAAAGCCATTGAAGAGCTGAGGGACTTGGGTACCTTGAGAGACCTGCTGTTACCTGATGCCGACAAGCCTCTAAGGTACTCTCTTGTGTCTTCTAGCTGTGACCTGTGATGCTATTCTTCAGCCCCCGAATAGTGTGATGAAATGTACTCAACACTCTACTGGAAAATTCATCTACAAGTCCTCCTGTGCCTTCCACTGCAAGGAAGGCTTTGACTTACATGGATCAACTCAACTTGAGTGCACCTCTCAAGGACAATGGACACAGGAAGTCCCCTCCTGTCAAGGTACTACTGAGTTCAGACTTTTAGGGTATGGGTTAAATACCTCATAAGTTACTGAACCTGAGTTGTTCATTGTGTATGATCCTAATTTCCTACAAGCTGAATACTAAGTAGTACGAATTAATTTGTTGGTGGCTTTTAAGCCAGATATAGAAGTCTTCCTGCTGATATTTCCTGACCTCTGCCAATGTGGTATTTTTTACAGTGGTACAATGCTCAAGGCTAGAAGTTCCAGCAAAGATCAATATGAGCTGCAGTGGGGAGCTGGTGTTTGGCGCTGTGTGCAAGTTTGCATGTCCTGAAGGGTGGACCCTCAATGGCTCTGCTGCTCTGACATGTGGTGCCACAGGACAATGGTCTGAGATGCCACCTACTTGTGAAGGTGATGCATTGATTGATGGTGGTTGTCTGGCAGACTAGGGAGAAGAAGGGGAGCTTCCTTGCTGCAGTGATTAACCACCCATTATATGCAAATCAGAAGGGTTGCCCAGGTTAACAAGCTGGTCAACATCTAACTGGGGTGCAGGGTTGAAAGGAAACAGAAGAAGTAGTGTAATGATAGAATGGATAGAATTCTGACAATTGGAAAAAGGAGATCTGGAGGTAAAAGGAGGAGGGGGCAATGGAAATAGAGAGGGAGGGAAGGAGAGAGAGAGAGAGGACTCAGGTTATTTGAGGTACTGTGTGGAATTGTGTGAGAGGTTGGCAAGTTAAGAGTTCTACCTGGGGAGGCGGGTGCTAGCCTCAAAGATGATGTGGTACAGATCTAAGAGGCCTTTAATGCCACAGTGTCTGCCTCAGGCATTTATGTAGATGGCTCTTTTGCTCCTAGTAATCAATATATGAAGAAAAGGCAAAATGGACAGAACAGAAAACCTGTTATGACTCATGATGGTTCTTCCTCTTGTTTCCTTAGCTCCCGGGGTGTTCAACATTCCCTTGGCAGTTGGACTTCCTGCTGCAGGAACCTCCCTCCTGACTTTGGCATCATTTCTCTTCTGGCTTTTGAAAAACTTTCGGAAGAAAGGTGAGGGAGTTTATGAGGTACTCCAAAAATCATTTTGAAAATATGGAGTTTTTCTCATTGATGAGTCATCATGGTCTTTTTTGCAAATTTAAATAATAACTTTAATCTAGGTATTGTATAAACACTAATAAACTACTATGTAATTAAGCAAAAATCTTACAGAAAAGTTCAGCACGCAACTGGAAGTGGGAGGAGGTTTAAGAAATATTAATGTTAGTTGAACTAATGGTGCACAGCTCTAAAAAGGGCTACCTGCGTTGAATTCTATGATTCCCCTGGAGTTGTGTGATGAGACTGCCATAGTTAGTGCTTCCTCGGAAATGAACAAAATGTTTCCTAGAAAGATTATTTAGAATACAGTTTTAAATTTTTGTAATATCTCTTACGGAATATGCAAACGTATCTATCCACACTCAAGTTTGGCCCTTACAGAGTGTGTCTGGATTTGCTATGTCCTTAAAAGTCATTTAGTCTAAATTAATGGTTTTCTTTCCCTTGCAGTAAAGAAATTTGTTCCTTCCAGGTAAGTTTCATTCTTGTACAAAGCATGCTATTGAATATTCTACATGGCTTTCTCTCTTTGTGTCAGAAAACAGTGCTTTATTTGGTGTTCTCACTCTTCCAACAGTAGCTGCCAAAGCCTGGAATCATATGGAAACCACCAGATCCCTTGTGACATCATTTAAGTTCAAAAGAAACAGGTGAAATTGAAAAACGACACACTAATGGCAGAGACCATCTTCTCTACAAGTCTGTTTCTCTTTAAGCCCTCAAACTTGCCATTTTTCTAGGGGGAATCATTATCTTCATACAATTTTCTGGAAAGTTCTTTCATTTCTTTGTAGAAAGAGAGGAAAGAAACAGAGATCTGGTGTTCTTGAACCATTTCATTACTGAAAGATAATAATGATGATGGTAGCTGGCTCTCACACAGCACTCAGTGTGTTCTAGGCAGCGTTCTAAGCCAGGAACTCTATTAGATGGGGGCACTCATTCTATTTCCTATCACTCAGATGAAGGACATGAGGCATAGGGAAGTTAAGTAGTTTGCTTAAAATCTAAAAGCTACTCAGTAGTGCAGCCAGAATCAAACCCAGACCATCTAGTTATAGAATCTGTGTTTTCAAACATCTGCTCTGGTTTGTGAGGATTTGGGATGGCCAAGTCCCTTTGAATACATTTTCAAATTATTAGACTACTTTTGTGCAATTTTAGGTTTACAGAGAAATGGAACAGGAAGTACAGAGCTCCAACATACCTCCTCATTCGTCCACTTCCAATTTTCCCTATTACTAAGACCTTGCATTAGCACTGTTCATTTGTTACAACTGATGGTTTGATATAGATACATTAAATTAAAATTTCAGGTAATGTAGGGTTCTTCCCATTTGTGTTGTATGCTCTGTAGGGTATTAACAGGGATGTCATGATAGATATTCACCATCACGGTGTCATAAAGAATAGTTTCTCTGCCCTAACTGAACAGCCTTCGGTATTGACGTTTACACTACTCCTGTGAGAGTATGCACAGTAATCTACAGCAGTGAGTGCAATTTTGTTGTCACCACCAGTCAGCAGAAGTTTCTGATAACATGCACACTTGCTTACACTTGCAGGAACACAGGTGTGTCCTGGGAACTAGATACTGAAGACAACAGAGACAGAGTTGTCCAGGTCCTTGGCCTTTCCTGCCCACCATACCTGCCACTTCTGTAGCTGGGACGGTGACTTCAATGGATCAGAATTCAGTGGCAAGACTGATCTTCCACCCAAAGGATTCAATTTTCTCTTTGCTATTCTTGAGGTCATAAAATGCTGGCTACTGAAGGAAAATAACATTCTCTTCAAAGCAAAAATGGAGAGATCAAGGCTCTGGAATCTCAGGACTCCTTTTGTGTCTCTCTTTCCTCACTCTGAAACCTTGGTAGAGAAAGAATATTTTTTGGTTTTGTTTCTTTCTTTTGTCCTTCACTATGTTTCAACTGTAAATTAGATAGTTACTGTCATGGGGATAAATAGGAATTATCTAGAATCCAGAGAGAACAAATTGGCCAAATATATTTTATTTCTAACTTTTAAGAACCCCAAAACTTTTAATGGCCAACAATAAATGCATAGAGGAGATGTTATTGGTGCACAGTGCAAACCCTATGTAAATCTTTGAGGATTACTAAGCACAGTGCTGTTTATCCCTATGGGATTCAAAGCTTTTTAGAGTTGTTCTTAGAAATTGTGTTCTTTTTACTTACACTGAATATAGCATAATCTTCCATAGCTCTTAATTCAGTACTAAGGACTATGATAGGGTAAAAGTTACTTATCCTAGATTACCACATCATTGTTTACTACAAACATTTAATGTTACATCTTCAGTAAATTTATTTCAAGAGGGAACAAATGTTCACCAGTGTGAAACTCTGAGTGTTTTACCACAGTCATTTTTAAAACATGGTACTATCAGGCAAGTAATTCTTGTATATTACATAAGATTTTGAATCCATGATAAGAACTCACTATTTAAAGCATCCATCTAATGCATTTTCAAAAAGTGAAGATGTCTAATAATCATCCCCTAGTAGTTTTATTCTGTATGTTTTGATGTTCTGAGAGAAGGGAAAGCTTGGGTGACTATTTATGTTTATTTATAAGCAGAGCTTAAAATTCCTAAGGAATTTCCAGTTACCAGAGGCAGTGAGAATTCTTAGTGAGTGCCAAAGCTGCCCATGTCAAAACTGTCTCCAACTTCCATGAACTTAACATGTTGGAAAAGTTTCAGGAAGTGCTGGCTGAATCATGGCAATGATAAAGCTAACAGAAAACAGGGAGGTGTGATAAGGCTGAGAACAACAGAGGATTTTTTAGGGAGCAGAAGATTGAGGGTGTGGGAAAATGAACATGCTCAAATTATGTATGGAATGAATTATTATTTTCTCTGAAATCTCTCAAATGTAAATACTTATATATACTGCATTAGAAGTAACTACAGGAAATGTAAGTGTGTCTGTGTTTGAGAATTATATACTATTTTAAATTATGATGTGAACTCTTTTACAGTTTTAAGTATGTATTTATTTAAGCTTGTCAGACTTATTGTTGACATGCACTAAAAAGTTTGACAATAAATGTGTTTGTGTTTATATTTATCTCTGTGCAGAGATTCTTAAAATTTTTATTGCATTTAGATAAAACTCACATACCATAAAATGCACCATTTAAAAATGTACCAAATTAAGCAACCATCATCACTATGTAACTCCAGAAGATTTCTATCCCCTACAAAAGAAACCCTGTACCCATTATCAGATCCTCTCATTTTTCCCTCCTCTGCCCCTTGCAACTACCACTAACCTATTGTTTGTGACCATGGATTTGCCTATTCTGGGCATTTCATATAAATAAAACTTTATGTGACTTTTTTTACTGGCTTCTTTTACTAAGCATACAGTTTTCAAGGTTCACCCATGCTGTAGCATGAATCTGTACTTCATTCCATTTTTTAAGGTTGAATAGTGTTCCAGTGCATGCATATATAATGTTATATTTCTCCAGTCACCTATTGATGGACTTTGGGTTGATTTTTGCCTGCTGCAAATAATGCTGTTCTGCATTTAGGGTAGACTTGTGTTTTCAGTTTCATGAGGCATATCCCTAGAAGTGGAATGGTTAAGTCCTATGGTTCACAATGTTTCATTTCTTTGAGGAAAAATCAAAGCCTCTTATAAAGGGGCTGTACCATTTTACAGTCCCACCAGGAATACACAATAGTTCCGATTTCTCCACATTCTGGATAACACTTGCTATTGTCTTTTTTATATTACCTTCTTACATGGTGTGAAGTGGTATACATATAGAATTTTGCACCAAAACTGTAAGAAGTCTGAGAAAATATAAATAATCTGGGCTGGAGATTTAGCTCAGTGGTTTCATCACCTGCTGCACAAGCGCAAGGACCCAAGTTCAATCCCCAGTATATATATATATATATATATATATATATATATATATATATAATCTGAAAAAATCATTAAGTTCAAGGAAAACTCCTGATCTTGGGGTCTTTCCCTTCCACTCAATACTCAGGTGTTCAAGTTCACCAGTTCATTTATACTTCAGACCGAATTTATTCACCAGGATCAGATCCAAGTTAACTTTTCCCCACGAAATATGTATGTTCTCTCTTTTAGAGTAGTGATAATCCACATACCTAGTATGCACTGAGCTGAAAAATCACTTGGAGAATCTCATTGTTATCAAAATGGAAAGAGAAAATGGAAAACAGACAGATTCTACTAATTAAGTACGGTTTCATATAGGACTGAAATGGATACACACTTGAGCTATGAGCTCAAAATGGCAGAGAGTAAACACTGGTTTTCCAAAGTATAAGAGGGAGAATAACTTGAGCAAATTAAATGTATCCAAGTCAAACAATTCTCTGTGCTAGCATGATAGGATTAGAATAGAATTATTATGGAAGAAAAAAAAATCTATCCAAAAAGCAAGAACTCTGGTCCTTTTAGTATAGCTTCCAAATCAAAGGTTAGCTTCCTTCTCACAGGATTCTGAGCCAAGAGAAATGAAAATATTTTTTATCCTCATATACGCATGTGTGGTGATCAAAATATATGGTGAATGTCTAAATTTATAAAATTTGTCTCAGTAAATACTCCATCTTGTTTTAAATACACTTTGCCTATCATTCTTGCCACTTTGTGCAGGATTCTCAGTCTGTCATTGGGATGCACTATGGTCAACATCATTGACATGATCCACAAACCATACAATATCTAGTCCTTGCCATCTCACAAGCTCATTACCTACCAGACCTCTTAGTACTGCTCTCCATCCACCATGGAGAGTGGCTTCTGCCCACTTAGGGCATACTGGCTCCTTTCACCTCCAATGATCCCCTTTACCATAGAAGCCCCTCATTCTTTGCCTGGTGAATTTCTTTTCATCTTTCAAGGCTCTGCTTAAATGTCACATGATGGCTTATTTTATATGTCAGCTTATCCACACCAAGGGATGCCCCAGATATCTGATAAGGCATTTTATCTCCAGGAGAGATTAGGATTTGAGTTGGTGGACTGAGAAAGAAGATTGCCTTTACCAGTGTGGGTGGGCCTCATCCAATCTGTTAAGGGCTCAAGCTGAACAAAAACAGGAAGTGTGAATTCACTGTGTTTGAGCAGTGACATTCCTCTTCTCCTGCCCTTGGACATCAGCTGTCCTGATTCTTGAGCTTTGGGGCTTGGACTGAATTATCACTGGGTTTCCTGCTTCCCCACCTGTGGGGAGCAGATCATGGGACTTGTCAGTCTCCATATTCACAAGAGTTAATTCCTATAATAAATCTACAGATACACGTGCATATATGTACACACACACTTGCTGTTTCTCAAGTGACCTGCTTAATGTATGTTCCTTCTTGAGAATTGACTTCTTAGACCAGATCTCTCATAACCTATAGTATTCAGGGTTCTCTAGAGGAACAGAATGAACAGATCTGAATAAGAGGGATGAATTATGCAGCCCAAAGATGAAAGTCTAGGAGCTTCCTAGATAGTCCCTGGTGTGAGTCCAGATTCAAAGACTGCAGAAACTGGTATCTGATGTCCATGGATGATAGTGGCAGAAAAGCACATCTGGTCAAAAAGAACGGAGCCTCCAAGAACTGGCTGGCTTTCTCCTTTTCCCATTTTGCTTCATCTGGGCCCCCAGCCTATCAGATGGTGCTGCTCACACTCAGGGTCAGTCTCCCTGCTCAGTTTGCTGACCCACATGCCAATGGTCTCTGCAAACACACTCACAGTCACACCCAGGAATGTGCTTTAATAATTGCCTATGTGATAATTTCAATTTCTTTGCATATACTTGAGCATGTTCTTGGGCTAATATGTGGTCTATTTTGGAGAATGTCCCATGTGCAACTGAGAAGAATGTGTATTCTGATGTTGTAGGGTGGAACACTCTGTAGATATCCACAAGTCCATTTGTTCGCAGGTTTGGCTCAGTTCTGATACTTCTTTGTTGATTTTTTTGGATAGTTTATCTGTCTATTTGTGACAGTAGGGTGTTGAAGTTCCTCATTATAATTTTATTAGTGCTTATTTGATTTTTCTTGTCCATTAGTATTTGTTTTACATAGTTGAGTGCATATATTTGGTGCATATATATTTGTGATTGTTATCTCTTCCTTTTGGATTGTTCCCTTTACAAGGATGTAAATCCATTTTGTCTGCAAATAGTATAGCTACTCCTGCTTTTTTCTGGGTTCCTATTGTTGTGCCCAGATGGCGAAGTCCCCAAAGACCACCAAGGAGCTGAGTCCAATGTAAACACACGAGGGTCGTTTATTCAAGCTCAAGCAGGGGCACTCAACCGTCACCGACACAGCGGATCAGGATTGAGAGCCCCGAATTTCAAATCAGCAGGGTTTTTATTGTGGCTACAGCAAGGTTTGGGGATTTTCCATTTAGCAGTTACATGATTGGTTGATATTTAGCAAGTATGGGGGTACATCGGGGTGGGGGGTTGAGGGGTGGCTACATGTAGATTTTATGGGAAAAAGGAACAATCAGCACATTGACAGAATGTTCTATAGATAATGGGCCCGGGAGCGTCTGTTTTCTGGGCAAACAGAGGATTGAGTTAGGAACTATGTCCTTTTTTTATCTGTTGTCCCAGAGCAAGGACATTTTATCATTATTTTATGGGCACAAAGGAGACTAGGGGAATAGTTGACTTCAGTGAAGTGGAATTTATGTCAAGGCCACTTCACTGTCTTATTCCAAGATGGAGTCAAGTTTTAAAATGGAGTTAGTTAGGTCTCACATTCCCCCCTTCTCTTGAAGCTATAGAGGACCAATCATGGGTCTCTGGGGGCCAATTCTATTAGGTCTTCAGAAATTAGTTGGTACTGGGACCTAAGCACCATCAGCTGTACTGTGCTAATGTGTTCTCTGATGAAGGATAAGAGCCTGTTAAGTATGTAAGGTCCAAATGTTAACAGGAGTAACAAAATGAGTAACGGTCCCAGCAGGGTAGAAATCAGAGTGGTCAACCATGGGGAGGAATTGAACCAAGATTCAAACCAACCTTGATTTTGCTCTCGTTCTCGCTTTTGCTTAGCGAGACCTTTTCTGACTTTGGCCATAGATTCTTTGACCACTCCTGAGTGATCTACATAAAAGCAGCATTCTTCACCTAAGGCAGCACAGAGCCCCCCTTGTTGTAGGAAGATTAAATCTAGGCCTCTTTGGTTCTGGAGAACTACTTCCACCAGGGAGGTTAGTGACTCTTGCAGGTGGGAGATGGAGCTTTCTAGTCTCTCGATGTCTATATCTATGGCTGTTCTCAAATCATTGTAATGTTTGTTTTGCAACACTAATGATGAGACTCCTGTTCCTGCCCCAGCTAATCCTAAACCTAGGAGAACTGTTAAACTGACGATTGTTACTGGTTCTCATTTGACCCTAGCTGGGGTCCTAATCAAGTGACTAAAAATATCTTTTTTGAATGGTATAATAGTCTAGGAACCAATTGTACTAGTACACAAAAGTCTCCAGTCTGGTTGAGTACTTTTTCAGGTGCACAAGGGGTGAGCCCAGTGGAGCAAGCCCATCATCCATCAGAAGGGGGTACAAGGTACTTTTCTGGACTAGACTGATAGGTTCGGTTGTAAAGGTGCTGGTGAGTGGCCAGGACACTGCCAACACAAATTCTATGTCCAGTCACAGATTGTAGGGTTAGCCTGGCTGTCCCCTCCAGTTTTTGAGACAGGGTCTTGCCAAGTCACTATGTTGCCCAGCTGGGTTTTAATTTGTGATCCTCCTGCCTTAGCCTCCCAGACTGCCGGGATCACAGAAGTGTACCACCACACCAGGCACCTTTAGTTTTTTACAATAGAATAATCTATGCTTTCTGAATCTATAAAAGACTTATACAATCCCCTTTGATCTTTTAAATGCATAAACTGAAAAATCAGCATTTATAGTAAATTTGACCAAAATTGTAGTCTTAAAGCAGTATCTTTAAAGGACAATATGTTTTTTAATGTCAAAAGAGAAAGTGTAATAAATGTCTAATTTTAAGCCGGAACTAAACCAGGTTTTTTTCATGTATTTTTAATTTCTGCATAAATGGTTATTCACACAGTCCCAAGATGGGAAACAATTTTTAATTGGCCCTTAGATTTACTTGTCTCTAGACAAGACCGGGAAGCCACCCAGGTCTGTCATGTGACTATGATTTCAAAAACCAGGACTCAGCATTTAAATTAGTAAAAGATCCTGTTTTGGTATGAATCAAACTGTCAGCTGCAGTAATGCATATTAATTCAA